CCACTTTGAGTTGGGATCAGTGGCTCCTTCTCGGAGCTGGCCCCGCTCTATTTGGTGCACGCTGTGGCAACAGGCAATGTGTGTTAATCTAGAACGGTGGCGATGACCGATGCGTAACACCTTTGTTTGTACACCAGTATTAGGAGGCTGAGGACAAACAGTGGTTGGTGTAAGCGGGGAGGAGGCTGCGGTGGGGATTATACCCCTTGTCTCTGCGGCCGGGTTCTTCTGCCTCTGTTCGGTGCCGTGAAGGTGAGGAAGGGAGGCTGGCCGGCCATCGGGGCTGGCTCCAAGCGCCTGCCCTCCGCAGCCCTGATCGACACTGCCCGCGAAGGCGTGTTTTTAATCCAAAGGTGTGAATGAGTGAACAGAAGGGAAGCAACTTGCTCACAGGCATGAGAGCAGCGGAAACTAGCTCTCCCGATATCCAGCCTGATGCCCTGTACGCTGTTACAATACCCTGGGCCTTGCAGATTGCTGAAATAAAACCCAAATCTGAGGCTATCTGGGTGATGGGGTCTGTTTTGCTCAGCTCTGTCATTGCACTGAGTGTTATTCTGCCCCAGCCCAGGTACACGTTCCTCCCTTTGAGATTCTGTGTCTTAGCACGGGTTCACCTGAATTTTCCCCTTCTGTTTTGGGTCCTGTAACGTTCCCCTGGCAGTCACAGCCCACGTGGGGCGACCGTCAGCGTTTCGCTGGCCGCAGGGCACTTGTGCGGATGGGAATAGGGAGGTAGTGCCAACACCATGCGGGGTGCTTGTACGAGACACCCCCCCCCCTAGCCCGTGGCACTGGTCCCAGTTTGGACAGGGGTGAGAACAGCATGTACAGGCTCGGCCTGTTGTTCAGCTTTTGCTTCCCTTCAGGATCTCACCTTTTCCCACATGTTCGAAGGAACGTAATGACCTATAAAATGGTTTGAAACCTGCTGCTGAAGAACGTGTTGTAAAAGGAGCGCGTGTTGTTTGGAAACTTCCCGATCGACGACTGTTTTCTTGTATTAGTAACGTAAATTCTGTGGGCAGCTTCATTTTTGTAGATACATCAGAGGTGGATGCTGACGGCGCTAAAAGAAACGAGAGCTTTAAACAGATCACCACGTGCTTTGATCGATCTCTTTAACTTTCGTTAACAGATACTATTACAACAAGAGGATTCTCCACAAGACAAAAGGCAAAAGGTTTACCTACAAGTTCAACTTCAACAAGCTGGTGATGCCCAACTACCCGTTCATTAACATTCGACCTAATGGTGAGTCGGGGAGGGGGTCGGGGCTGCTGTTTCTAACTGCCACCGTTCCTGACGTGTGGAACGGGGCCGGGACCGACCCCGCAGCCTCTGCAGATCCCCTATCAGTCATCTCCTCCACTTGAAAGACTGCCGGGGCAATCAGCGTTGCTGTGGTGGGAATGTCTGGACGTTGATAAAGCCTTATCTGGAGCGTTCTTTCCCTCGGGTTTGTCACAGACGCATCTGTGGTTGTCTTCAGGGGAGACTGGAGACATTTTGGTTTCCTATTTGAGCTTGCTTGTTGGACTGTCTTTATGGGTGTCACAGATTTGCTTTGCTTTGCTGTCAGGGGGGCAGGTGTCCTTGGGATAAGAGGGGTTTAAGTTCTGTTGCAGGGACCTTGCCTCACTCACATGCTTGTAACGTAAGTTTATGGTGCCATATAAATGTGAGCCGCCTTGACAAGGAGCTTAGAGGTGCGTGGCAAGGCATGCATGTGAGCGCTATCAGAAAGTTTGCAGCTTAACAGCAGTTTGCTCTCCTCCCTGCTTCTGCAAAGGCCCCTTGTTTGCTTCAGTGTGGCTCCTTTTAAATCAAAAGGAGCTTTTCTTAACCAGCTTCTATCCAGAGTTCAGAGAAACGTAATAGCGAGCGCAGAGCAGTTTCCAGAGAAGAGCAGTAACTCGTCCGAGTTTGACTAAAATCACAGGTATTTCTCGATTCTCCCTGCGGCAGAACGGCGTGCTGACATTCAGGATAACGAAAAAGAGTTTGAGAACGGAGCGTAATTGTTCCCTTCTCGTCCTAAAAGGCCTTTGAGTCTCTTGCCAGGAGAAGTAGCAGGAGTTGACTCCGGGTTTGTCCCAGAGTCAGCAGTGCTGCTGTGGTTTCTCTGGAAGAGGGTCCTTTGTTCACAAGATCCTTTTTGGTGGCACTAAGTCCCTCCTCTGTAGCTAGATTTCTACAGTTGGAGTGATTGCCTCCGTAACTGCACAGCCACCACGCAACCAGGGAAATTAGTGGCCGTCGAGTCCGTCAAAAAAAAAAAAGAAAACCCACAAAAAAACAAACCCTTCTGGAAGTCATTACAGCGAGGCCCGAGACTGCAAACTCTCCGCAGCAAAAAAAAAAGTGTGAACGCAGAGACGCCTGAACCAGCCTTTCTCACAGCACTGGGCGCTTAGTTCTCACCTCGCGAAGAGTGCCCCAGGGGAAGCCTTGAAGATTGGTCTAGTAGGGAGAAAACAGGGGAAAGTGGGGATTGAATGTTGACTCTGAAACCCCGGCGGCTGAGAAAAACAGGCTACGTGTGGGCAAGAATATTTCTCATCGGTGCTCGTGTAGCCTCTGCCTGCGTACAGCGGTGCCTGCTCATCGATCTTGGCAGGTGAAGGGACCTGCGTCCCTCCCCTGCCCCTGGGGAGTCCCAGCCAGGCGCGAGCACAAATGTGATTTTAAGGCATTGTCTTCTAAGCAAACAGTAACCCCAAAACAAGGCTGGGAGAATAGAAATATTCATAAAGGCGTTCTGCTTCACCTGTGTGGGACGCGCTGCCTTTATGGCAGTGGGGAGAAGGAAATATATTCTCCAGGAGTCCTTAGCCAAAGCATGGGGGTGTAAGATGTAGTATGAAGCTGCGCTGCAAATCTATAATTACTTGCAGCAACGAGTCTGGGCAGTTCCAGCTCAATATTGCTCACTGCTGTTCCTTTTCCCTGTTTGCAGCCACTCCCTCCTATCTCTGGGGCATGCATTTAAAAAAAGAAGTTTGGAGAACTGGAATGCACTTGTCTAATTACAACCTGTTTTCTTTCCTTCTGGCTGGGATGGGGGTTGGGATATCAAACCTGTTTGGGGCACTGGAATCGGGTTTCTTCTCTCGAGTCTTCCCTCGCGCAGTTTGGAAGGGAAGGGAGAATCGACGGGCGCGTTACGGAGGTGAGAAAGCAGGTGGAAGAATTTGCCTCAATACGGCTCGTTACGGCACGATTAAGTCGTAGAGGGGCGGCTCCGTAGGCACGGCGGTGGAAGAGGAGCCAGCGAGAGCTGGCAGTGTTACCGGCAAAAACGTTGGAGAGAATCTGTCTTCCCAGAAAAGCACAAATCAGTGACTTTCAGTCAGCCCCGAGAGCTTGAGGTTTACCAGCAGCGCTTCTGCCGGTGGCATTCGAGCACGATTGCTCAACCGTGCTCCTAACGCACCGTCGTCGAGGTGTTTTCTGGTTAAACCAGAGCGAGGAGGTCAGGGGAGGGCGTCCGAAAGTGGAAGTTATTTCAGTGGCACTGGCGGTTCACGAAACCTCAGCCGGGGCGGAGGGAGGAGAAGATTCATCCCCAGCAGTGGCGAGGTTTTGAGGTGGGCAGAGGAGACTGGAGCTGTGCAGGGGAAGGGAGCTAATGGGAAAGGCACCTCCCATCTAATCGTCTGCTGCGTTGTTGATAGTGCATGGTATTTTTGTGTTGCTCTTCCAAACGCCTGCGGGTACAGCCCTAAAAGCAGCTCTTTACCTGCGATTTAACTCCCTCGGCAACCGCGCTCTTAACTCTCTCCCGTACTCTTTTCTCTTTTCCCCTCCCTGTCCCAGGTGTCGTGCCGCAGAGCGCTCCTCCTGTCCCCACGGCTTCGTCCCGCTTCCATTTCCCACCGCTGGACAGCCATTCTCCCACCGAAGATGCCCAGCCCGGTCGTTTCTCCGGTGGGTCCCTGGTCCCATCCAACCCAGAAGCGTTGGGTGACGGCGGCGAGAGGAAGCCGGACATGCCGGAGCTGGAGGATGGCTCCTCGGATTGGCGCCGTGGCGTGGATCTCATGGCTTCGCGTAACGCTGTGGGCGCTGGTAGTGTCAACCACCAGAAGCGCAAGCCCGATATTATGCTCCCTCTTTTCACCAGGCCCGGGATCTACCCGGATCCTCACAGCCCCTTTGCCGTGTCCCCTCTGCCGGGGCGCGGCGGGGTCCTAAACGTCCCGATCTCTCCTGCATTGTCCCTGACTCCCACCCTTTTCTCCTACAGCCCCTCTCCGGGCCTCAGCCCTTTCACAGGTAGCAGCTGCTTCTCTTTTAACCCCGAGGAAATGAAACACTACCTGC